TGAGGCTGAAAAACCCAAGGTTGACAAGTAGAAAGGCACAGTCCCGATGTTACCAAACCACACGGCAGGCCATTAATTCAAGTCCATCGTAAGTCCCAAGGTTGGCAGAGCATGGCAGGCTGCTGAACAATGACACAGCTACATGCAGGGTCCAAGCATGCCATAAGCTAGAGACCATTCCCAAGGCGTCTCCTTATATACAGGAAGCAGACCATATCCCAAAGGCAGCTACTCAGCTGTTTGTGGTAGATCCCACCGTGGAGATGATTGCCAGTCTCATCATGGGGAATAACTACCACCAGCTGCGCAGCCACTCAACCAGGCCTAGCCAAGTTGACACAAAAACATAACCACCACACCAAGTATGGTGTCTTTCTCCGGGGACTGGTGCCTTCTGATAACATGTCCAAAACATTCCATCTCCTTTTTGTTTTCTCTTTATTAATTCTTCCTTTTCTCAGTAATATTTGCAGGCTGAGGACAAATACATGAAAATGCAAGTTTCCCTGCTAGTTATTTGTCTGCCTTATCTTTGTTTGATCTTTACATTATCATGGATGTCTTGTATTCCCTGAACTTCTACCTGTTGCAAAAATTATATTTTTCTTTTCAGCATTAGTGAGGATTTTTGTTATGGCAACAGTTACTGTGGCGGAAGTTGGCCCCTGATGAGCATAAACAGTAAATTTGATGCTCTTTGCTCATTGTACTTTTTCAAGTAATGGGATGGTAATGGAACTTCACGTGGACATTGTTTGGGCTTCGTTTCTTGCCCAGAGATGGCTTGGATTCCATGTTCCTGCCTCCCAGGATGTGTTAGTGCCTTCAAGACATTTCTGGATATTCGCTTCCACCTTCAGCCTTTAAAAACATAAATTCAGTCCCCGGTTTTCCAATGACAAAACAAGCAAACAAATGAAAACTGAACCATGAAACTACAAGCGTATGGAGGCCCAGGCCCTGGTGGAGCTCTGTGCAGCCATCGGAGCTGTCCAGGGCCGTCAGAGTGCGAGGACTGTCTTCTTGAGCCATCTCACTTGGCAGTCCCAGTACTTAAGCTTGGGTCAGTTATTTTATTTTATTTTTTTATCTTGTTTTTTTTAAATAGGGACTTGTTCTCAGACAGGAGCCTACAACTTGGTGGGTGATGCTGGCAGCACTTGGTGGAGGATCAGTCTTCCATCCTGGCCTCTTGGCAGCAGCCTCCTTATCTGACTAGGAAGCCCAGTCCTTCCTTGCAGCTCCTTGAATGCATTTTTAAAGCCCTTCCATGGACATCACTTCATGGAGATGGACATAGGGAATTGAAGTGGACTAGGTTTTAAGGATGCTGCTGCAAAGCATGAAATACTCAGATGGTGAACCTTTCAGAATAGGCTTGATGTTTCTGTTGTGGTTCAGAAATTACAGAACGAAGTTCCTGTGATGCATGGATGAGACAGACAGTGTTCTTGCTGTGAAGGACTGACATTGTGCTTCCATTTCCAGTCGACCTTCTGGGGCTCTTGAAATGGCGTTCGAACACGAACCTGCTGCAGCAGAACTTGAGGCAGCTGATGAAAGTGGATGGTGGTGAAGTGGTTAAGGTAAGTGAGTCCCACAGGGCAGTGTTTTGTTCTTTGCTTCCTCTCCGTAAATGATGCAGGTGCTGCTTCCAAAGCTCGTCTAGGATTCTAGCTATAATCCCTTTAACAAATAGTTTCTTGAAGGTGGAAGAGGACTTGATGCTTTTGAGTTTTGGTGCTGGCAAAGAATATGGAAGGTACCATGGACTGCTAAAAGAACTAACAAATATGCCCTGGCAGAAGTGCAGATGGAATGGTCCTTGGAAGCAGGAATGCCCAGACTTCGTCTCACTTACTTTGCTCGTGTTGTCAGAAGGGACCATTCCTGGAGAAGGATATCATGCTTGGTAAAGTGGAGGGTCAGCCAGAAGGGGTAGGCCCACAACCAAATGGACTGACACAGTGGCAGCAACGATGGGCTCAGGTATAGCAAGCATTGTGAGGTTGGTGCAGGACCGGGCAGTGTTCGATTCTGTTACACTTAGGGTCGCTATGAGTTGGAGCCGACTCGATGACACCTAACAACAACAACAAGATATTGAAGATACACCTCTCTTCATGGAAGAAGTGGTGAAAGGGAACCCAAAGGAATGCAGAAATCATCGAACAATAGCATTAATATCACATGCAAGTCAAATTATGCTGAAGATAATTCCAAAATGATTGCAACAACAAGTATATCAACAGAGAACTGCCAGAAATTCAAGCCAAATTCCAAAGAGGGCATGAAGCGAGGGATATCATTGCTGATGCCAGGTGGATCTTGACTGAAAGCAGAAAGTGCCAGAAAGGTGTTTACATGTGTTTATTTGACTATCCAAAAGCATTTGACTGTGGCTCATAGTATATTATGGTTAACATTGAGAAGAATGGGAGTTCCAGAACGTTTAATTGTCCTGTCCTCATGAGGAACCTATCCATAGATGAAGAGGCAGGCATTTGAACAGAATAAGGGGATGCTGTGTGGTTTACAATCATGAAATGTGTGTGTTAGGGTTGTATCCGTTCACTATACTCATTCGGTTTGTATACTGAGCAAATAATCCAAGTAGTTGGAGTATATGAAGAGGAACACGGCATCAGGATTGGAGAAAGAGCCATTAACAGCCTGTAATATACAGATGGCACAACCTTGCCTGCTGAAAGTGAAGAGGACTTGAGGTACTTACTGATGAAGGTCCAAGACTGCAGCTTTCAGGATGGATTGTGTTCAGTCTTCTTGGTGCAATTTCCTTGTCATTGCCATTGTCATTGTCAGTGGTCCTGGTGCGTGGCTCATGGGCCTATGTAAGTGACTTGTGTGGTGTGGACGCACGACTGAGCACTGGGCTCTGCACTTGGCCGCTTGCTGCCCACAGGACCCGGGGCTCATTTCTCAGTCTTCTGCATGGCCGGCCCTGGAGAAATGTTTGGGCCCCCTTCCTGTGGCCTCTACATCTTTATCTACAAGATACAGGAGTCAGACAGGGGCGATGAGACTGTCTTCTGAGCACTCAAATTCTGTAATTCTTGTTCTGTTTCGTCTGTGGTTCTGATACTTCTGTCAGCATCAGGCATTGCTTGCCTCTCCTGTATCGTTTGATTTAGTTACGTGACTTTTCCTTGTAAAGGGTGTGCAATTTCCATTTCATTGTGTTTCACTTTGGCTGGTGAGTGATGAGCTGATCGCTAGTAGGTGGCATTTCCTACACATGGTCTCTCTCTACAACCAAGTCTGTTCCTCGGCTGCCTCAGTTCTTCACCCTTCAAGAGCGGTGCTTGCAGAGGAGGCTCTCTTATCTCTGTAAAAATTAATTACTTGAAATGGCCTTAATTAGCCAGCAATGTGGTTAACTTCAGTATAAATTAATTTAGTTGCACCCTCTCCTAAATTCATTATATAACCATTTGAACATATCCTCGCTCATCTGAAAATTTTAATCATCTTTTCAGTCCTTGTCTTCCACCAATAGCTTGGACAATGTTAATTGCATTTTAAACTTCCCTGGGTTCTATAAATTCCTTAATTCAGATGGAAACTGGGTGAATAAATGAACATACTTTAGAAGACACACAGTTAAGGACATTTTGTTCTCTTTCATTCTTAAGTGCCTGTATTACATCAGGGAGTAGCTGTATTTCTGTTGACCTGTTGTCACATTCACCAGGAAGAGTCTGGGCTCATTTTATCTGTCGTTCTCCCCCATTCCCCTTCTATATTGGATTATCCAGCACTATTGTTCATCTTTGGGATTGCTTTCCCCATGTCTCTCTCTGCTTCCTGTCCACACTGGGATTACTCAGGCCTGATATGCCATCTACTCCTCACCTAGTTGCTCTTTTGGTTGCTGGCTGCAGCCCAGTTGACCCCGACTCATGGTGATCCCGTGCACATGGAATGAGGTGTTGCTCAGTCCTGCGCCACCCCCGTGATCCGTTGCAGATGAGACCATTGCGTTCTGTAGGATTTTCTTTGGTAGATTTTCAGAAGTGTTGATCACCAGACCTTTCTGGTCCATCTTAGTCTGGAAGTCCACGGAAATCTGTTGAGTATCATAAAAACACGTCAGCCTCCCCTGACAGACAGGTGGTGGCTGCCCCGTGAGGTGTGCTGGATGGAGACTGAACCCGGATCTCCCACGTGGAAGGTGAGAATTCCATTGCTGACCTGACTTTTATTCTTCCCATTTGCCAGTGTATCCTGTGCACCATGTGTTCCTGGAGTGGTGGCTTGACTTGCCCAAGGCTGTTTGGACTGGTGATGGCCAGCCAGGACTGGTGGGCTTCCCAGCTTTCAGGCAGCAGCTCCTTCTAGTCTATTTAAGGGCTCTGATAACATGAAGGCTGTTAGTTCCATTCCATTTTTTCAAGGTCTCCCTTTATCTATATTTCTAACTGGTAGCAGTGCGATGGTGTTGTTTGATAGATTGAGAAGGTAATTTGTATATTTAATAAAAACTACTGTTGCCCACTAAGATGGGAGAGAAAATGGGGATTTGGGTCTTATGGTGGTGGCTTTGGAGGAAGGGGATGATGTCATAGAGACTTTGTGTCTTCTTCTGGATGTGACCCTACTCCGTGGTGGTCCTATAGCCAAACAACCAAGGTTCCAGCTCTCTGAGCTTCCATTTCTGTGCTACTGACCAGGCCATTTGTCTCGGTGGGACAGCCAGCCAGGTCTGCTTCAGGGACTTTGCCTGAACTGTGCTGAGCCAGGGCTTGGCACCTGGTGGTCTGTTGGCAGGAACACTGGGCCGTTAGCAGATGGCATGAAGTTTTGACCTTTGCAAAGACTTTGCAATCTGAAAATGATGGAAAATGATACAAAAGAAACAAGGTGGAGCAGGGCCAAATAATTACCGAGGTGACAGAGCCGTTCGTGTGCAGACCAGATGCCTCTTGTTCAGGATGATTTTTTTCTTCCTCTCCTGTTGGCGTTTGACATTTCCTGGGGTAACATCAGTGGAGGATGGTGTAGCAGACTTGAATGAGGGGCTCATGCCTCTCTTACTGGATCAGGAGGACATTCTTACTCCTGGGGCTGCCACGGAGGCCCTGGGCTTGGTGGTGTCACAGAGTCCCCAGCACAGCAGAAGGAGCAACGGGACAACACTAGCTTGGGAGCAGGGTCCTGCGGTTTGGGATCCTCTGTGGAAACTGGAAGGCCTTTCAGATGCTGTGCACAGGCTGAGCAATCCAGGAGGAAGCTGGATCAGACACAACCCAGCCATCCTTTGTCATCCATGCTAGGTGTCCACGTTCTTTCTTTGTTGTGTAACAGTCTCATTGATATATAATTCATATGCTATAAAATTCTTCTTTGTAAGCTGCACAATTTAGTGTTTTCTTCCGTGTGTGTGTACATATGTATTCATGTATATTTTAAATGTATTTTCTTATTGAGAATATACACAGCAAGATGTACCAGCTCAGTCTGGTGGCTTTTAGTACATTGATAAATTTGTGCAACCATCTTCACTATCTAATTTCAGAACATCCTCCCAGCCCCTTGCAACTACCATCTGCTCTGTCCCCGTAGGCTTACTTGTTCCAAGCATATAGATTAAACAATACGATATGTGGCCTTTTATGTCTGCCTTCTTGTACTTAGCATGTTTTCAAGTTGTAGCATATATCAGAACTTCGTTCCTTTTTATGGGCCAATAGTATTCCATTGTATGAATGGACCACATTTTGTTTATCCACCCATCAGTTGATGGATATTTGGGTTGTCTTTACTCTTTGTCTATGATGAATAATGCTGCTATGAGTGTTCATGTACAGGATTCTGTGTGGACATAGGTTTCCAGCTCCCATGGGTATATTCCCAGGAGTGGACTTGCTGGTCACATGGTAATTCTATGTTTATTTTTTGAAAGCTTACCCAGTTGTTTTCTAAAGCAGCTGCATTTTTCATTCCCATGAGCCATGGATGAGGATTGTGATTTTTCTACATCTTTCCCAACAATTGTCGTTGTCCATCTTTTTGTTTATAACCATCTAATAGGTGTGATACAGTATCTAACTGTGGTTTTGATTTGCATTTTGCTGAAGGCTGAGATGATATGTCCGTGGGTTCCTTCTGTGGCTGGAAGTGTCCCATTGTATGGCATCCATCTATTCTTGAACTCCTCCACCAGCACAGAGCTCACTACTTCTAATAAAGTATTTTTCAGTTCACCTGACCTTTTTTCAACGGGAGATGGTGGTGGGGTTTGAAACGAATTATAAGTGTGACATACTTTCAGCATGTCCTGTGGTTTCTTTTTTGATTGAATCCACGATGTTTTGTCTTTCTGTGTAGTCATATTTCTTTGGTAAATTTTAGTAGGTTATGAAAGTAATTTTTAAGTTACTGCTGAATTGTAAGCCGCCCTCGCTCATTGCTGGGTCCCCCAGTCCCAGAACCCCACCTCTTCCATCCTTGGGCATCTCCTAGAAGCCTTGCTACCATCCTCAGCTGGACCCTGCTCCTGTGTGGCTTCTGCCCACTCACTCACTGAAGTGCTGCCCTCAGAACAGTAGCAAACAAGTCACTCCTCTGCCCAGCTCTGCCATCCAGCTCTTTGTCACCAGGCTGGGAAAATGAGGGCAAGGGTGGAAGTTTGTGAGTGTGTTTCTTTATCTGGACTCAGTCACTCATCCCCAGTTTTAGTCTCTTGTATCTAATGGCTGAGAAGCAGATAGCTCCCCAGGTAACTGTCAGGAAAGGTGGGGTCTTGTTTTCCAGTGCAGCTGTAGTAGGACCACCACAAGTAGGTGGTTTTAAAAGATGGAAGTTTATTTTCTCATTGTTGGGAGGTGCGATGTCTGAATTCATGGTGAATTCACGGCAATGGCTCTAGGGGAGGGTTCTCTCTCACTCTGTTTCACTCTCTCCCCATTTTTTGGGAAAATCCTCATCTCCGTCAGCTTCTGTAGCCCGGTGTGCCTCGGTTTGTTGGCAGTCTTCACGTGGCATCTCTCTCCCTCTCGTGCTTTCTTTCTGTGTCTGTGTTGCTACTTCAAACTCAGAAATGAGTAGGCTTATTGCATACCCTACTTTGATATTGCTTCATTACCATACTAAGAAAATCCTGTTCCCGTCACGTACTTTGGGGGACACAATTCCGTCCATAACAGGTGGGGTGTTTGGAAAATTGCTGCAGATGATTGTTTTTCTAGGTTGAGGGAATGCCAGGTGGGTTTTGTGTGCTGACCTTTTGTGTGCCTTGTCTGTGCAGTTTCTGCAGGATACCCTGGATGCCCTCTTCAACATCATGATGGAGAACTCAGAGAGCGAGACTTTTGATACACTGGTGTTTGATGCTCTGGTAAGAGGCTTTCTCATCCTCTTCACTATGCAGGCACTCTTTCACGCTGCAGCCTTTGAAGCTGGGTGTGGGTCTCCATGAGGGACACCTTGAACGTGTTTCAGTTGTAAACCCAATCAAAGCCGATGAGTCGAGAGGTAAAAGTTGCTTTTAATGTAAAACTACAATTACACAAATGTCACTTCTATGTGAAGAAGAGGAAACCAGCTGAGGAGTGTATGTATGTCTGAAAATGTCCTCGATCGTTCATTGGCTTTGTGATACAGATGATTTACACGAGGACAGCAGGGTGGCTCACATTACGTCACTAATGAAAATACCGATTCACTTGACAGGTATTTATCATTGGACTGATTGCTGATAGGAAGTTTCAGCATTTTAATCCTGTCTTGGAAACCTACATTAAGAAACACTTTAGTGCAACATTAGCCTACACGTAAGTTCCTTTTTGTTGTTTTAAATCCAGTACTTTTGTGTGTGTTTGTTATTAAGAGTCTATTTCCATGTAGTTTTATCTATGATTATATGTTTTCCCAAAAAAACACTCTTAATTTACTAGTAAGATTTTTTATTATTGTTTCTCTCTTCACATAGTTGTAAATCTTGTTGAAAGAGATATGTGATGGATTAGCACAACAGCTTAGAACAAATGCTTGCTCTCCTCCACACCTCCCATTTATGCTTGAAAATTTTAATTATGTTTGATGAAAGAGATGAGATATATGGACACAGAGTACCTGCAAGCATTGGATGAATGAGAAAATGGATTTGATCTATTTCAAAGTTGTTGGTTGTTTAGTGTGAATAAAATTCAGTTTTGTATTTACTCTTTAGAGACGGCTTCTCTTTTGGACTACAAACTTCAGATAAAACTAATGTGGATTCCTACTGCCTACTCAGCTGCTGTTGACCAGACCTTACCCCTAATAACCATTCCTTGGGTCTAATCAAACCCTGATGCCCCATGGCCAATGGTCAGAGCACAGCCCTGGAGCCAGGCTTCCTGGGTTTGAAATTACAAATTATATCAGTTCAGAGCTTTGTGATCTTGGGCAAGTTACTCAGTCTCTCTGGGATTCCATCTCCTCTCCTGTAGAAAGAACATAATCATAGGGTTGTATGAGGATTTACATGAATTATTGTATGTAATGTGCTTGGAAGAATCCTTGACTCGTGGAGTACCATGTAATTGTAAGCTTTATTATAATATAATTATAATTATGGTTTCCTTTCTCACATGATGGGATTTGGTAATGATTCCAATGTTTGATTGTGTGAATCCAGTGAAAAAGAAATATCTAAATAATGTAAGGGCATCCCGCTCATAATCATTAGAAAGCTCTCTTTAGTGTCAGTAAATTGAGTCCTAGTTCCCATCTGTATGTTGAATATTTTTACGGGAAAGCCTGTTGCATGACCTATGTGTAACCCTGAAGTCAGGGTCAGGGAATTCCTGCTGTTGGATGCCAGTGATTAGTGTAACCCTGTCTGGTTCCTCGATTCTTGGCTGTCATCAGATACCCAGGAATAAATTTAATGAAAGGTGTGTAAGATTTCTACCCTGAAAATTACAAAACCCTATGACAGGAAGTAAAGAAGAGCTACATAGTTGGAGAGATATACCATGTTCATGAATTAGAATATAAAATGTTGCTAAAATGTCTGTTTTTTCCAAATTGATCTATGGTTTCAAGACATTCTCAATCAAAATCTCAGCAGGCTGATTTTTAAGAAATTGACTAGCTCATTTGAAAATTTATATGGAAACCCAAAGTGTCTAGGATAGCCAAATTAAGTTTTCAGAACAAGAGCCTGATTTCCAGATTTACTCTGATGCTGCGGTCAGTGAAGCAGTGTGGTACTGGCATAAGGATAAATTGTTCAGTAGTAGAGGATATAGACCACAAAATAGTTGTTCTGGGCCCTTGAGTCAGTTCTGACTCATAGTGACATACGGAACAGACTTACATACATATGTCCTGTTTATAACTGCCATTTTCTGTTTAACAATACAGTACAGTTTTTCCACTTTGGTGCTGCTAGAACCATCCTGCTCCCTTTTTTTATTTAACTCCTGTGCAGGATTTTATTGTAGGGATGTATCATAATTTATTTAACCAGTCCCCACATGATGGGCATTTGCATTGTTTCCATATATATATATATATATATATATATAGACAATGCTGCAATAACTATATTTACTACGTTTGTACCAGGAACCCTGGTGGTGCAGTGGTTAAGTCCTTGGCAGCTAACTAACAGATTGGCAGTTGAACCTATCCAGTGACTCTACAGGACAATGACCTGGTGGTCTGCTTTCATAATGACCACAACCTGGGAAACCTTAGGGGTCAGTTCTCCTTTGTCACATGGGGCCACAATGAATTGGAATCAGCTTGACAGCCCTGAGAAGTAACAGTACATTTGTAATCATTTCTGTCATTTTGATTATTAGAAGTAGTCTAGGAACCTGGTGTCAGAGGATTTAGATGTTTTAAATCTTAGGAGATCTTGCCCATTGATCCTCCTTCGCATCCCACCTGTTTGTCTACCTGAATTGTTCCCGCTTCCCCATATCTTCTCTGACTACATCGTTTTCAGTCTGTTCTGGTCATTCCAACTAGGCAAACAGTTGGCTACTTGTTCTTTTAATTTGCATGCACTTGTTTATGAACGATTTGATTAGTTTTGGTATGTTTGTCTTCCCTTTTTCTGTGATGTGCCTGAATGAGGCCTCATGAATGACCACCCCACCCCAAATCAACCTTCTCATATATCCTGAAGGTTTGAGTAAATCTGTATCATTTGAATGTTTGAATTCCAGAAAAACAAATTTATTTAGGCTTTTTTGTTCACTCTTAGCTGGGGATTTTAAAATTAGCCATAAACTAAGCACTTGAAATAAATTACGAAGCTGTGTATTAAAATAAAACTTCCAACACATGGTTATTTGTACCAAGTGCCTCCAACTATTTCTGTAGTTGGATGCAAAATTTAGAAATGGTTCTGGCCAATTTCCATGTGTTATTAACTGTATAAAATTGAAAACCAAACGCATTGCCGTTGAGTTGATTCTGACTCTTAGCGACCCCCATTGGGTTTCCAAGGCTATAAACCTTGATGGAAGTAGGTTGCCTCATCTTCCTTCCGCAGAGCAGCTAGTGGGTGTAAATGTCTATTGTAAAAAAGTTGTAAATGCTTTCAGGTGGGGAGATACAAACAGGGAGCCTTCCAAGAGAAGTGTGGAGATTGTACTTTTAACATTAAACATTTTTAAGGGAATTCTATAATTAGGAAATGGAAAAAGTATTTAAAAATCTTTTCAGGTATCCACCCATATTTTTTGTATCTATTGTGTGTACTTTTCATAGAAGGATTCTTAGAAAATTCATTAAAAATTTAAGAACGTTTCCTATTTGAAAAATTACTTCTAAAATTTTCATTTTCCATGTAGGAGCGCTAGTTGTTTTAGCAAAGGAGCTGGAATGAATAGAAGAGACTGAGGTGATTGCTAATAACAAGTACTGCTTCACATAATGTCTTTTTTATTGTGGTAAAATATACATAAAATTGGCCATTTTAATGACTTTCAAGTGTGCAATTAGTTGCACCGTGTTGTGTGACCATCCCCATTATCCAGTTTGGAATATTTCAGGGTAATGCCGTTTTGGAAAGATTTCTTGTAATTCCGTTAGGCTCTTATGATGAAAATCCCTGAGTTTTTTAAATTTTTTTTATTTAGCATCAGAAAATCTCATTTCTTACTTAACCCTTGGCTTCCTCATCTGAAGATAGGAGTAACACTACCATGAGCCTTCCAGTTATTGTGGGGATTAAATTATATAATATAGTCAGTGTGCTCAGAACGGCATCTCAGTCTTCCAGGTGGCTTGTCAGATGCTCAGAGCCTGCTCCCCTGAGAGTTATTTTGTGGATCAGTTTATTAGATCAGAAAAATTTTTACAAATATATGTATATACTGAAAATATAAACCTAAATCAAAACTACCCATTTGTGCATTTCTGTATCAGTTAAGAATTTGAGATATTGAACATTCCTGAACTGATCATAAATTTGCATTTCTGTTATGAACAGGAAGCTGACAAAAGTGTTGAGGAATTACGTGGACAATGCTGAGAAGCCGGGCATCAATGAGCAGCTGTACAAGGCGATGAAAGCCCTGGAATACATCTTCAAGTTCATTGTTCGCTCCCGCATCCTGTTCAATCAGTAGGTCCCCATGCTGGCTCACAAGAAGCCTTTCCAGAAGTCCTTCAGCACTGGTTTTTTCTCCCTCCCTCTCCTGCCTCACGCTCTCCTCTTTCCCCTTCTTTTCCTTGCTTTTTGACATAAGTGACCAGGAATTACTGAGGGGGAGGTGGCCCACTCTTACCTTAGCTGCTCCTTGGTGCCGTTAAATATTGGCCTGTGCTGCAAGCACTCTTCCCAGTTGCATTATGTGCATTTGAGTGAAATACCATCTTTAGAAATGTCTTTGGTTCAGTCTTAGCCGTACAGAGTCAGCACAGACATGATTCCTGTGCATGCCTTTGTCCTGATATGGCCCCAGCAGGAGCCGGGCCCAATCTAGAATTGCATCTCTTTGCTGGGACAACTTTTTGGTCAGACGTGCCAAGAATGCCCAGGACAAGGAAGTACAGGAAGATCAGAAGCTGAGAGGCAGTAGTTGCAAAAGGCAGTGAGGCTACCCAAGTCTCCCAAGGCCCTGGCCCTCCCTAGCCTTATCTCACTCAGTGGTGCAGTGATCACGCTGGTTTTGGTGTCTCTGATCCTGGTAATAACGGTGGTGGTGGTGGTGATGATGATGACCATGAGGCAGACAGTGGTGACAGCATATAAGAACTGCTCCCTTTCCAGGGAACATTAACCTGGAGACTTTATTCATTCATTCTAAAACAAATACTTAACTGTGTACATCCAAAGGTCTGGTGTGGGGATACACCAACATCAAAACAGAAGCCTACCTTGCCCATGTCCATCAGTAGGTAGTTGGCCACCCAGGCACTGATAAGGGGCTGATAGCACCTTTTGTATTGCCCTGGGCCCGGCTTCATGTTGGGACTAGCCGTGTGAGTGCTTGGTCAGGTCTACATTACTGTCTCCTGTTGCGAAGACTGTCTGGCTTCAAAGAGTCATCTGGCCACAGGCCCTCTTTGAAAGCCTGAACTTTCTGCTACTCATCTTTTATCCCTCAGACTCGAGGCAGCACCTCTCCAATGTACGCTGCTTCCTCCAGGTATGGAACAGGTATAGACTCTGTGCCTCGTGGACCAGAAGGCTGTGAGTCGCTCATTGACTCCACCAGTCCCCTGAAAATCAAAGCTGTCCTTCATCAAGGGACGTGAAGCTTTCAAATCAAGCAAGACCTATCCCTCACTCTGCTGCTCTGTGGCAGTCCTCTCCTGACCCTGAGATGGGGGGGGCACATTGAAGCTTCTTCCATGACAGCAGCGTGGGACCAATGCCCAAGTGGTGTGTCAGAAGCGTCCTTTCACTGCCTTTGCAGTCTAGTCTCCTTGGGTTCCCTCCCTCCCTTTGCAGGTTCTAGCTCTGTTGAGGCACCTTTCAGGAATGGTCTTCCGTGTTAGGCAGTCAGGCTGCCCCTGGGTCTCTTGCATACTTCCCAGAACAGATTTGGACCTTCTCATTCTCTTGTAGCTCTTCTCAGCTCTCCTTACTGTTGAAGCTTTGGTCCTGAGACTGTGATGTAGGGAGGAAGAAGGGAAAGGTCAGATCAGACCTGGAACTACCAGTGTGTCCGGGAGACGTTAGTTCAGGATAAAAGTGCTGGTCCTCAGGTCTGATCTTTTTAATTTTATGAAGGTCTTTTCCTTCTCTCTTTGTTATCACTCAACCAGCATCGCTGAGAAACCTGAGTAGTGTGGTTTTTCCATTACCTGAGAAGACAGTGTTGACTTACCCCAGGGGTTATACGTCCTTTTCTCCCCCCTTTCTTCCCTCTTTTCTTTCCCGTCTCCTCTCTGGCCTTCTTCCATAAGTATTCAACAAGCTTTTGAACCCTGTTTTCCAGACTTTAATAGCTATCGACTTTATTTTTTCTCTCTCTATTTCTTCACTGTGGCTCTTGGCTGTCTGCTATGCTTCTTGAGGGTAGAGAAGAACACAAATCCCTTCTAGGACATGGACCATAGCTGTAGTCACGTTGTGGGAATATGACAAATATGTCTTACACAGAAATCTGCTGTCTCAAATGTTTGAGATCTTTTAATATCTTTACAGGTAGCATGGGAGGAAAACAATCGTGGTCTTAAACTCATGGACAGTGGTTGTTCGTGGTGGTGTTAGGTGCTGTTGAGTTGGGTCCGACTCACAGCAACCTTGTAGGCGGCAGAACAAAATGTTCGGGCCCTGTACCTTGCTTACACTTGGCACCGTGCTTGAGCACGTCGTGGCGGCCGCGGGGTCAGTCCATCCTGTTGAGTGGCTTCCTTTTTTTGTTCCCCCTCTGCTTTTCCAAGCATGATGCCCTTCTCCAGGGACTGCTTCCCACTGATAACATGTCCAAGTATGTGAGACGAAGGCTTGTCATCCTCCCTTCCAGGGAGCATTCTGGCTCTCTTTCCTCAAGACGGACTGGTTTGTTTCTCTGTCAGTTCATGGTCTATTCAGTATTCTTTGCCAACACCATAATTCAAAGGCATCAATTCTTCTTCAGTCTTCCTTATTCATTGCCCATTGACAATGGTGATATCTTTGTTTTACTAAAGAATAATACTAAGATGCTTAGTAATGTTTTCCCCTTGGCCCACTCCCTGTGGTCCTACTGTAGCACTTCTCTAGTTATTTCTTCATCTGTGATAGCAAAGGCATTGCTTTTAGATGAAATAATACTCTTAGATTGTATAGGCTACTTAAGAAAAAAAAAACCAACAGTCCTGTGTCCCTTCTATGAGTGTACAGTGTTTGACCCCATAACAAGCTCTCAGCACGTCTCATGTGTGACGTCCTCAGGCATGAGGGGAATGAAAATAAACCCAGTCTCTTGTTTTCATTTTCTCAGGGGCAGCCCATTTATTACACCTTGGAGAAAAACAATTGTGCTCGCAGCCTGCGTTGACAAGTGTGTTTTCCTTTTTGCAGATGGAATAAACTTCTGAGGTCTTTTATTTTTCTTCTCCTTTCAAAATGGTCTGCCCTGTTTTCCTAGAATGCAGGGGCTGTGTTAAATTCGAGGATAATTGACAGTCATTGTTCTTCCAAACAACAAAGAGGTGAAAGTTTGGAGATGAAGATAGGGCACTCATTTCATTACAGCTGTCCTGCGATCTTCCCAGCCATGCACAGCCACGCTTGGGGTTTTGTTTAGAGAGCTGGTTTTGTTCTGAAAGGAGAACAGCGGTGTCGAAGCAGTGTTTCGTGGGACCCAGTGAAGGGCTCCTGACAGCCAGGGGCGCTTCTCCTCTGCTTTTTGTTTGCCTGTGTTTTCTGCGTGGGCGGATTGCATTAACTAGAAAGCCAGAAAACGGCCACATCCTGCGTCAGCCGCTCTGAATGGAATTACAAGCACAAGTTCTTGCCTGGCTCCTGTTCTGTCTGGTGCTTTCTGGAGCTTCTGCCTGTCATCTGGTGCTAACTTTGTGGATAATTAGTTATTGATCATGAATAAGTTGTTGCAGATCTGTCATTCTGCTGTCATTCCCTAGGTCACAGAGACAGAATATAGGTAATAGACGAAGATTCTTCACTCCTTGTTAGTGAATATTTACCAAATTTAAATAGACCAAGGAACAACGTGTGTTTCATTCATCGATTTATCTACCAATATGCCTCTGAGTTCTCATCTCCTACCGCTTCCTCCACCTCAGGATGGGGCAAACAAGTGACTCTTCCTGGTTTATTTGAGGAAGCCAAAACGTAAGACTGTGGAGACTTCCTTGATGGTATTTTATTACTGAAAACACTTCAAAGATAATGCTATAAGATGCTAAACACATTGATTGTAGCAAAGAAGTTTCAAAGAGCTTTGAATGTTCATACTTGCTTCTTAGAATTTTAAATGTGATAAAGGTCCATTAATTGTGTTTCATCCACACTCTTGCACCTGTGTATCGTCCCGTGGTGGCTTGTGTGTTGCTTTGAGGCTGGAAGTTGTGCCACTGGTATTTCAGTGACCAGTGTCAACCCAGGGTGAACAGGTTTCAGTGGAGCTTCCAAACTAAGACAGACTGACAAGAAGGCCCTGGTGACCTACTTCTAACAGAATTGGCTGGTGAAAACTGTGTGGGTAGCAGTGGGACACTGCTGATCTCAGGCCAGAAGGTGAGCCCTCAGAGTGGAAGGCACTCAACATACGACTGGGGAAGAGCTTCCTCCTTGAAGTAGAGTTGACCTTGTCATGTGGAGGGAGTACAGCTTGCAAGACCTTCATTTGCTGATGACTCAAATGAGGAGGAACAGCTATAAACATCTTAATTATCAGAGTCTGGAATGTATGAAGAAGTATGATTCTAGGAAAATTAGAAATTGTCTGAAATAAAATAGAATGCTTGAAGATGAGCATCCTAGGCATTGGTAAGCTAAAATAGACTGGTTTGGGCCATTTTGAATTGGACAGTCACATGGTCTACTCAGAAATGACACATTGAAGAGGAATGGCATCACATTCATTATCAAAAAGAACACTTGAAAATTTATCTTGAAATACAATGCTATAAGTGGTAGGATAATACCTCTACACCTACCAGGAAGACCAGTTAATATGATGATTAATTCAAATTTATACACTAAGCACTAAGGCCAAAGATGAAGAAATTGGTGCTTTTTACTAGCTTCTTAAGTCTGAAATTGATTAAACGTGTAATCAGGAAGCATTGATAATTACCTGTGATTGGAATTCAAAAGTTGGAAACGAAGAAGGATCATTAGCTGGAAAATAAGACCTTGTGACAGAAAAACACTGGAGATCACATGATGGAATTTTGCAAGACCAATGACTTATTCATTGGGAATACCTCTTTTCAACAATGTAAACTGTGACTGTACACATGGACCTCGCTACATGGAATGCACAGGAATCAAGCCGACTACATCTGTTGAAAGAGATGATGGAAAGGATCAGTATCATCGGTTTGTGAACAAGGCTTAATATCACCAGCAGGGGGTTGACTGGACCAGACTGTCAATTGCTCACATACAGGTTCAAATTGAAGCTGAAAAAATGAAAACACGTCCAGAAGATCCAAAGTATGACATTGACTATATCCCACTTGAATTTAGAGACCATGTCAAGAACAGATTGGACACATCGAACACTAATGACACTGAAGACCAGTGGAATAGTGGGATGACATCAAGGACATCGTACATGAAGAAAGCAAAAGGGCGTTAACAGTTAGGAAAGAAAGAAAAGGCTAAAATGGCTGTCAGTAGAGACTCTGAACATTGCTCTTAAACGTGAAGTAGCTAAAGCGAATAGAAATTACAAGGAAGTAAAAGCGCTGAATGGAAGATTTCAAAGGGAGCTGGAGAAGACAAAGGAAAGTATTACAGTGACGTGCTAAATCTTGGAGCTAGAAAACAAAAAGGGAAGAATGCGTCTCAAGCTAGAAGAACTGAAGAAGAATCTCAGCCTTGAATTGCAATATTGAAGGAATCTGTTGGCAAAATACTGAATGACGCAGGAAGCGTTGAAGGAAGATGGGAGAAATACACAGAGTCACTCACTGTACCCGAAAGAACTGTACATTCAGCCATTTCAGGAGGTAGCATATGATTATTGAAGGAAGAAGGCCAAATTGCCTAAAAGCATGGATGGAAAACAAGGTTCTAGGAATTGACGGAATACTCATTGAGATGTTTGCAACAGACATCTAACACTGGAAGCACCCAATCATTTATTTTTAGAATATTCCCTTGATTTAGATGTGTAGTGTTAATTTTATTTTTGTGCCTTTTCCTCTGTCGTGAGGTGCTCCATCTTATCTTGGTCTCTTCCTTTTTATTTGGCCGTATGGCGCTATCTTTTATATGGCTTAGGTTCTTTTTTTAATACGAACTGTATATCTCTATGAAAGACATTGTATCATCTCCGGATAATTTGATCTTCCTCACAGGTAATTCATCCTCTGTCTCTAGGCATGGAGAATGGGGCTGACCACCTCAATCCAGTGAGGGAGTAAGTTCACTCAAGGCTGTAGCTTTGGTAAGGCTCAGTCTTCTTTTGTCTGCTCCTGGCCCTCTAGAGTTTTTACTCTGGTATATGAGTCCCCTGTTCCCACCATTTTCCAAGCTACGCATTTTCTGTAGACAGACAGAAACCTGACTTTGCTTTTCAGACACTTTCATTTTGGATTTTAGCCTTTCAACCACCTTCAGCCTGAGGATTCCACAAATGTCCAGTGTAGGGAATCACTGCATGCTTGTGGCATCTCCGACTGTTTGCATCACCTGCCAAAGGTTCCTGCATCCCACCTGCAAATGTAAGGTCACGACTCCCTAATTTTAATTGTTTAATGCACCGTTTAAGCCAACCCCCATTTGAAAACCCTTATTTACAAAACAGATACAGTAAGTTGTAATTTCACATTTTAGACAGAATTCTTTGCTTTACAGTGGAGCTCATTTAAATATAAGATTTCCTCTAGGGTAATTAATTATCACTTAGTTTACAAAATTTTCCATTGTACACAAGTTTTCAGGTACAGTATTCTTTTAATTAGGCAGAAAACTAGACTGTATTAATAAAACATCTGAGTCCAACATTTTGAAATTCAAATGCATTGCTTTTTAGTAACAGCGACTTGAAATAACTGCTGATAAATAATTTATAGATGAAACTTATTTACAATCAGTGACATATTTGCAATTTTGCAACTAATGTACAACTTGCATATTATCCGTTAGTTCAGTGTGCTCCACCTCTTGAAATCTGGTGCAGGTAATGTTGATTCTAAGGTGAATGAATTTGTGAGTGTCATCACTCTGAAGTAAATTAATTTTCAAGTTACTATTATAATGCCCATTTCAAATGGTTATAGCATCACATTAAATTTAGATAACTATCTTTGTGATCATCAATTATGTGATATTATGGGCTTACAAAACGCTGATAGGAAATAAATCAAAATATTAAAAGTGTAATCTCTGGGATAGGATTAGAGCTAATTTTTCCTCCTCCACCTTTCGCTTCCTCCTTCCCTCCTTTCTGCCCTCCCTTCCCTCCTTTCACCCTTCCTTCCTCCCTTCTTGTATACTTAAGTCTTTTCCAGATTTCTGGAATGCATTATTGTTGCTGTTAGCTACTGTCACATTGGCCCTTGTCTCACAGTGACCCCATGCTCAGCAGACAGGAACACTATCCAACCAGCGCCATCACCATGATTGATTAGGGATTGGAACATTGTGATCCGTAGGGTTTCTGCCGATGGATTCTTGGCAGTGGGTCTCCAGGCTTTCCTCTCTAGTCCGTCTTCGTCTGGAAGCCCTGCTGGACCCCGTTCTGCATCCTCGTCATTGTCAGGTGCCATCGAGTGGGTTCTGACCCCCAGCAACCCTGTGTGCAGCCGACCGAAACACTGCCCTGTCCTGTGCCAGCCTCCCCGCCTCTGCTGTGCTTGAGCCCCTGGTTGCAACCCATCTTGTTCAGGGCCTTCCCCTTGTCTGCTGACCCTCCACTTTACCAAGCATAATATCTTTCTCCAGGGATTGGTCCCCTCTGACAACATGAGCAAAGTATGGGAAATGACGTCTGGCCATTCTCAATTCTAAGGAGTATTCAGACTGTAGTTTCTCTAGGACGGATTTGTTCATTTTTCGGGCATTCCGTGGTACATTACATATTCTTTGTTAACACCACAATTTAAATGTATCAATTTTTCTTTAGTTTTCCTTATTCATTGTCCAGCTCTCACATGCATATAAAGCTACTGAAAATACCATGGCTTGGGTTAGGCACACCTTAGTCTTTAAAGTGACAACTTTGCTCTTAAATAGTTTAAAGAGGTCTTTTGCAGCAGATTTGCCCAGTGCAATACATCATGTGATTTCTTGACTGCTGTTTCCTTGGGTGTTGATTGTAGATCCAAGTAAAATGAAACCCTTGACAATTTCAGTCTTTTCTCCATTTATTGGTCCAGTTGTAAGGAATTTTGTTTTCTTTCTGTTCAGATGTAATCCATACCAAAGGCTGTGGTCTTTGCTCTTCGTCAGTAAGTGCTTCAAGTCTTCTTCACTTTCAGCAAGTGAGGTTGTATCATCTACATATCCCCTTGTTAATGAGTCTTCCTCCAATGCTCATGCCATGTTCTTCCTCGTATAGGCCAACTTCTTGGATTATTTGCTCAGCAACCTAAACGCTAACCTTTCCTGATTTTAAACCATGCAATCCTTGTTCTGTTTGAAGCCTCTTGGTCTGTGTATAGGTTCCTCATGAGCACAATTAAATGTTCTGGAATTCCCATTCTTTGTAAAGTGCTACGTAATTTGTTAGGATACACACAGTTGAATACTTCTGCATAGGTGATAAAACACATTTACATGCATTTGGTTGCTAATCAAAATGCCAGTGGTTCAAACTCACCAGCTACTCCATTGGGAGAAAGGTGAGTCATACTGCTTCCCCAAAGATTTGCAGCCTTGGAAACCCTAGGAACGGTTCCACTCTGTCCTACAGGATTTCTCTGAGTCGGAATCGACTTGATGGCAGTGGGCTTGGTTTGGTATTTTGGAAATATCTCTCTGTTATTCTATGTTTTCAGCCAAGATCCATCTGACATCAGCAATGAGATCTCTTGTTCCACGCTCTTTTCTGAATCTGGCTTGAATTTCTAGCATTTCCTTATAGATACACTGCTGTTTTTGAATTATCTTGAGCAGCATTTTCCTTGTGTATGGTACTGATGATATGGTTGGATCACCTTTATTTGTAATGGGCATGCAGTCCACCACTGGTAGATGGGTGGTGGTTGCACACCATGTGCATTGACCTGGAATCGAACTTAAGTCTCTCATGTGGAAGCAAGAATTCTACCACAGAACCACCAATGCCTTATGAACCGTACTGTCTTACAGTGATGAGAGCAATCAGTGTTACTGTTTGAAAAGCTGCTTGTTAACTGAGCAGCCGCATCTCCACAGTTGAGCGATCCCTGTGGATCTCCGTCCATATTGCTCCCCATGCTTCAGGGGTGCTGGGGAGATTCCTTCACATTCCGACTGTCACCCAGGTAGCTCCATCCTGGCCGTAGCAGTAGGCAGTAGGCGTGAGATGGGGTAAGGGCTTCTCCCACCAGGCCACTACCGAGCTCTGTGTGTGTCCTTGCAGACTGTATGAAAACAAAGGTGAAGCCGACTTCATGGAGTCCTTGCTGCAGCTGTTCCGGTCCATCAGCGACATGATGAGCAGCGTGTCGGATCAGACAGTGAGAGTGAAGGTAAGCCCCGGTGTGCTGGCACCGGCCATGGCCAAGGCCTCCATGTGGAGGAAAGGCTCCCTGCTGCCGGTGCCATGCAGCGAGTGCAGCCTGAACTTGCAAGGAAGGCTCAGGAGTGTCTTTTTCAAGAGCATAACCATGCTCGGAGTGTAATGAAATTCCTTTTCTTTCCTCCTGGGTGCTCTTCAGTACTTTTACTGCTTGTCTCCTTGCTCCTCGACAAAGGGTAGGTTCTGAATTTACTTGGTTTATAGAAGGAGGAGTCAATGAGAATAGTGCTTTCCTCTGAAGTTGTCAGACTGGTTTTGTGCCTTGGAAGACACAGGAGGCTGATATTGACGGTGCTCCCAGGATTCGTGTCAGAACTTAGGCTCCCCTGTGGAAAGACTGTTGTACCTGCATCCTTCCTTGGATCCTGCCTCTACAGGAGAGACAGATCCCAGGCTCCTTTGTTCCGGGGCTCCTACCTTTGCTCACCTGTTGCCTTTTGGATGAAGGATGCCTTTAGGCCACGTGAGATCTGGGCCCTCATTCACTCATAGGCCCGGAGATATCCCAGGAAGCAAAGTGTGGGGTGGCCCCAGTGGAGCTCCCAGACTTGTTCACTTTGGGGACTTGTATATAAGGATTTTCAGGGGCGACTTCTAACTGCAAGAACTGATTGCTGTCGAGTCGAGTCTGACTCATGGTGACTCGGTGGCGTGACGTGGGTGAGAGTAGAACTGTACTCCGTAGCATTTTCAGTGGCTGGGTTTTCAGAAGGAGATCACCAGGCTGTTTTTCGAATGTGCTTCTGGGTGGACTCAGACCTGCAGCCTTTTGGTTCGCAGCTGAGTGAGTGAACCATTTGTATTACCCAAAGGCTCTGAAGTTGAGGGAGGGGCTGTGCAGTTGCCAGTTTGTTGCCTGTTTAATTCCTTCAGAGAGGAATGAGAAGTTTCCAAATGACGGAACTTCGAGCTTTCACTTGGTTGCTCATCGTAGCTGCCTAGGCTCTCACTTCCACCCTTTAATGTTCTTTTAATTGTATACTTTCAGAAAGCTGCCGTATGGCTATTGTCTTAGAAATGTTTTGCAAAAATGATTTCACAGCTTTGAAGTTTTGCCATACGGTCTGGAATAGAGATGGATGGTGTGTGATGATTGCCGTGGCCAAGGGAACCAGCGCATCCACACACGAGTAAGGTCCTCTCCGCGGCAGTCCAGCTGTGTGGCAGGGCCCCCGGATTCTGCAGTGTAATTTCCCCATCTTTCCATGTACGTGTTGTAAAAAATCTGCGACCTATGAAGAAAGCCATGTGGTGTGTATATGAAGAGTTTGAGGCTGGTAACATGGCACCCTGATATTGCCTGGAGCTGCCTTAACATGCCAAGGTTAGAATCAGCAATGTGTTCAGTACTTTTATGACAAAATCCAGTGGCATTTGGAAAAACAGACCCTTGTAGTATAGGATTAGATGAAAAAAAATTGCAAGAACTTTTAAGTAATCTAGAAGTAATTGCTAATTTCCAAATATATTCTAACTAACCAACCAACCAACTCACTGCTGTCAAGTCGGATCTGACTCATAGCGACCCCTCCTTGGGTTTCTGAGGCAGTATCTCTACTGAAGTAGACTGCCCAATCTTCCTTCTGAGGAGTGGTTGGTGGGTTTGAACCACGAGCCTTCTGGTTAGCAGTCAAGTGCTTTAGGCACTGTGCCAGTGTATTCTGGTGTTTTCAAATTTGGTTGGGCTGACTTGTGGCTGCATGTCTCCATTGAAGTAAAATTCTTTAAGGATGGCAGACTTGGATGACCCTTTTTTTAAGGCGGTGTTTTCTTCTAGGACACAGTGAATTCAGTGATGCTCAGATGTGGATGCAAACTGTTCATCAGCGAGACAGACCGCTGGGTTTTCTTGGCAACATCACCTCCCTCGCTGCTAAGTTTGTATGGTTTTATTTCACACGAGGTGCTCTCTCGGCAGCTGAGATTCAAGGTTCCTGTGATGGGACCCTCGTTTTGGGGCTACCTTAACTCATTTTCTTTATGTTTTTCTCTGTTGAAAATGGTGATAAAATGATGAATTGATCTACATAGAAAACGTAGCTGGTTGGGCTTCTTCAGGGTTAAACATTAGTTGCAGAAGGTGGCGCTTGCTGGGTGTTTTGATGTGGTCTGTGTGTGCTTGGGGTGCCATGGGGGTCAGTGTGCCCATATGCCTACGTGGCCTGATTCTGGGTGACTCAACTTGGCTTATCTGGAGCCCCCACTTTGAGAACTGAACACAGCACTCATGCTCACCTTGTAGGTGAGACTCAGTCAGAGGAGTTTCTGTCTCAACAATGGGATGGGGAGGAGGAGATTCATGTAATAAGTTAGTGTATGATAAACATGGCACCCAAAGTATCATTTTCCACGGGACTGAGTAGCAGAGTTTTTTTTTTTTTCCTTTTCTTTCCCGTGGTCACTTAATTTAAGTGGACCGACACACAAGTAGCAGAATGCCTGGGCAGGTTTACCTGTGGAACGGGAGCAGGGCCTACAGTGGCTGTGCGGGCCAGGTCTTCTCTGTGCTCGGTCAAGCTGCCCTGCAGGTCACTCCACTTCCTGAATTCCTGCTCTGAGCATCTAGGTGGTTCTGGAGACAGACACATCTCAGTGCCGATTTACTCTCCACTTTGTTCTCCCCAGCACCAGAGCTGTAGTCAGATCCTTTTTTTATTCCTTACGGAAATTATATCAGCAGCCCTGATGACACATTGGTTATAGCATTTGGCTGCTAACCAAAAGTTCTACAGTTCAAACCCGACAGCCACTCTGTGAGAGAAAACGCCTGGCAACCTGCTCCTGTGAAGACAGACAGACAGCCTTGGAGACCCTGTGGGGCAGTTCCACTCTGTCCTCTAGGGGCGCTGTGAGTCAGAATGGACTCTACGGCAGTGGGTGTGGTTTGGGCTTTGCTTCTGTAAAGATGACAGCCTTGGGAATGCTCTGGGGCAGTTCCACTCTGTCCTCTAGGGGCGCTGTGGGTCAAAATGGAGTCCATGGCAGTGGGTGTGGTTTGGGCTTTGCTTCTGTAAAGATGACAGCCTTGGGAATGCTCTGGGGCAGTTCCACTCTGTCCTCTAGGGGCGCTGTGGGTCAAAATGGAGTCCATGGCAGTGGGTGTGGTTTGGGCTTTGCTTCTGTAAAGATGACAGCCTTGGAGACACTGTGGGGCAGTTCCACTCTGTCCTCTGGGGGCGCTGTGAGTCGGAATCCACTCTATGGCAGTGGGTGTGGTTTAGGCTTTGCTTCTGTAAAGATGACAGCCTTGGAGACCCTGTGGGGCAGTTCCACTCTGTCCTCTAGGGGTGAGTCGGAATCGACTCCATGGCAGTGGGTGGGTTTGGGCTTCAATTCTGTAACATGACAGCCTTGGAAACCCTATGGGGCAGTACTTCTCTGACTTGTAGGGTCACTTTGTGTCATAGTGACTCACTGGCAACAGGTTTACAGGAAGTTACATTAGCAGCTATTTCTGGCAGCTTCTAACGCTCCAGGCTGATCTCTCATCCCTAACCACCATTAGAAATGATGTTGGTTCATCTTATTTACTGGAATTTTCATCTGCGATTTCTTCACCTTCACCTTTCCTTCCTCACGTATATCTGAACAAGAGAAGTCCATCCTGCTGTCCAAGGTGGCCTTCCATCTGTGCTCCATCTCGCCCTCTTCTTTCCTGGGATCCTGCCGGAGGCACCACCCCTTTCTCTCAGTCTCGCGTCTTCCATCTCCGCCTTCGCTTGGGCCTTCCTTTTACCTAGCAGTGTTCCCAGATGTCCTCCAACTCTACCAAGGGCTTTTGGGGCCCTCCTTGAGGTAGGAGCCCGTCAGGCTTCTGCCCCATGAGAGGGCCCGGGTCCTGTTGCCACTGCCCACTGCTCTGTCTCTGCCCCATGTTAGCTTGACCTGGCTCTCCTCTCTGGGTGGCCCGCCAGCATCTCAGATGCAGCAGCTCGAGGGCTAGGCCTCCCCTCCCTTCCTTTCCCTTGCTGCTCCTTTACTTCTTCTCCCTTGCTTCCCTCCACTCCTCTCCTCCTCTCCCCTCCCCTCTCATCCCCTCTCTTTGCTTTTCTTGACAGTGATGTCAGGAACCCTGTCTTTGCTCAGATCCTCAGCTCCTCCTGCTGAGGTTATGGCAAAAAGGCTTTTAATGCTGTTCCTCACCAATTCTCCTGCTATGCCTGCCCCCGCTAGGCACCCACCATCTGTTTTGGGATTTTTCCTGAAACAGATGGGATGGCCTTGGTTTCTTCACAGACCTGTGATGTTCCCCATATGGCCTGACTGTGTTGGCAGCAGGTAGTTCTGTTTTGGTTCAACTCGTGGACTGTGACACCTGATTTTGAGCATTGAAGCTTTGTAATCAGCTGGTACCAAAACCAACCAAACCTTCTGCCATCAACTCCATTCTGACTCACAGTGCCCCTAGAGGACAGAGTAGAACTGCCCATAGTGTTTCCAAGGCTGTCGATATTCAGGGAAGCAGACTGCCTTGTCTTTCTCCTGTGAAGCAGCCAGTGAGTCAGAACCACCAAGCTTTTGGTTAGCAGCTGAAAGCTTTACCACTAAGCCACCAGAGCTCCCTCAGTTATCACAGGTGCCCACATTTTCACTGAGTTCCATGAAACAAAATTCTATCTACTCTATAACGTGATCTGTCTGTGACCTGGGCATAGCTTCTTGCTCATTCTGGGACTAAGAATTGCAGAACTCTCTGTAGATGGAGATGTTGACTGTGAGCCACAGTAACAATTTGTTAACCTATGTGTGTGTGTTGTGTATATAGAACTGAAACAGATTTTGTGGGAAAGTTGTTACCCTTATTCCCTGTGATGCACAGTGGCATTGGCTCCTCTAGTGCAGTTTTCCCCCCATCTTTTCCAGATTCATGTATTTCACTAACAAAAATGGCTGGTTGATGGGCAGTAAATGTATTTCATGAATGGCTGATGGCTCTCGACCCGCATTGCC